CCAGGATGCAATGATTGAGCATGATTACATAATTTGTGGCAGAACTGGACCAGGAAGCCGATGAACTCTATTTGTAAGTAAATGAAAAACATGTTTGTTTAACTAATGAATGTAAGATGATTTTTAATCGGCATGCAGAGCTACATGCTGATGTGATTTTTAGCAAAAGGGGGTAAAGGTCCATTTTAAGAATTCATAAGGGCACATTTCTTTATTAGATTTACAATACTAATTCCAGAAAGAATACGAACAATAACAATAATACATTTAAGATGTGTTCCCATATTACCTTATACAGTATATGTACCCATATACTCCTTAGCTTATGTCTTCGCTTGGGACGGCAAATTACGATATAAAACCCAGCAAGACATGGAAATAAAATGCACCACGTTTATTCAACAAAATCAGACAGGATTATTCACAAAAGGGTGAAGAGTTTGGAGAAGGCCAGAGAGGTGAACAATCTAGGACAACATAGGTAAACTGGGAAATATCCCCAATTCAGTTCACTTTCCAGTTCAGCTATGTTGTCCTCGATTTTTCACTTCTCCTGTCTTCTCCAAACTCTTCACCCTTTTGTTAATAACCCCGAGAATATTCACGTTTGTGATCCTAGTGAACGATATAAAGTCAGCACACTGAGCAGGTCAACTCAGGTTTTAGTTTGCCTGGACACAAGATCAACCTCTCTGTACTGAAATTCCCATCAAGCTTCCATCTAACTTCATCTGTAGTACTAATTATCAAAACACTTGTCCTCTTTTATATATCTATCAACCACAAGGGGAAAGCACAACGTTAGTCACAAACAGTATATTTCAAGGTTTAGATAGGAGTGGGGCAAGGTTGAGGTCCTGTTCACACCACTGCGGTGCGTTAATTGCATGGTACGGTGCGATTGATGCACACTATCGCACAACATAGCTACCATATGTAGCCATTCATTTCAATGGTACCCCAAAGAACCTCCTGGCCGCAATGAACTGGCACGCAGTGCCATGTGCAGTACCGTAATACCATGTGAAGCAGTGGAAAAAAGTAGTGCATGCACTACTTTTTTCCACTGCACCACACAGTACTGCACATTAATTGCGGTTGAGCACATTGCGGCCGGTAGGTGTGTGGGGGTGCCATTCAAATGAATAGCAACACAACGCACCTGCCGCATTGTAATGCACAGTACCATGCAATTAATGCACCGCAGCGGTGTGAATGGGCCCTAACAGTTCTATCATTTTTTTGTTGCTGTCTGATGCCACATTGGGGAGATTTAGTGACAAATGCTGAAAAGTAAAAGGAAATAAGTTGCCACAGCAGGGGCAAAAAGATCTCTATGGTTGGGCTTGACAGGCAGTGCCACCTGCCAAACGTGACATGCTGCATAATGCCTGCAGTGCCTGGATGCAATTCTAACAGCAGTAAAGCCGCAGATCAACCACCCGATTTTGCCACCTGCCTAAACAAGACCAAAGAGTAAGCAACAAGCAAGCTAAGAAGGGAAAAAATGCTGCCCTGAGTTTACACCCATAGAGGTCATGTGACCAAGGCCTAGGCATTTGGTTACATGATCTCTGCTTAAATCAGTATTAGCCAATTTGAACACTAAGCCTCCCCCTTAAAAGAGGTCACATGACCCAAACGCCATCAGGCAAGACTCTCTAGCTCTATACAGGGTGATCAGTGTTACCTCTTCTAGAAAACTGCTGGATTGATAGAATGAATGAAGGAATGTATTTTTTTTACACTACTTATTGTTTTACCACATCTTTACTTGTGCTTGTACACACTGTGCCGGAATGACAGCTCAATTCATCCGTGCGGGTGAATGCAGCTTGTCATTTTTTGCTGCAAAGCTTATCTAGCTGTTCAGACCAGTAGGAGGCAGCAGGGCCAAGATCGACTTCCACAAATAATCCCTGATGTCTATATTTCTGGATCTATTGATCAACAAGCAGTGCAGATTTGTATGCCTAAAAACAAACAACAATATACTTTAAATAATTAAAAGCTACGCTGAAATCTTTGCATTATGAACAAAGTGTGGAAGAGTTAAAACTTCTGTTGGGTTTTTATAGCTATCCGGCGCTCAATTAGGGAGATTTTGCTTCAATTTCTGTTCTAGTGACAATGGTTATAGACAGACAGGAAGTAAAGGAAAATCTACAACAAAAGACGGTTTGCGTTGATGGCTTCTACTTGGCATCAGTTTGAGATGCATCTGAGGTCATTCAAAATTCATTAACTGGTGCCGCTGACCTGCAGCTGACCTGCAGCTGACCTCCTCCTGATTCAAGCAGGTTTTGCATTCCCATGGACTTGAGAATTAGATATAGGAAATCACCCTAATGCAAACCAAAGTCGACACAGGCCATAAAGATGCTACGTCTGCACCTCCATGGACCGTAGCATTTGATGGGAGGCTCAAGGATATCCTATCACATTGTGCAATGGCTTCCTGGATGGTGGTTATAGCACTAAGGACTTCTGGTTCACTGCAAGAACATGAATGGAAAGAGAAGCTCCGAGCAGGTAAGACTCTTCCCTTTTCCATTTCTAGTTTGGTTGGAGTCTACCTGGAAGATCATTTCTTCTTACTGAGTAGATCTGTATATGTGGAGAACAGAACTTCTAGTCATTGAAGGATGCAACTGGTGAACTCGCTTCTCCACTAACCCTCAACATACCCCTGTGTGCTTCCCAACCTGCCCTCAACACGCACTCTGAGCGCTTCTCCACCAACCCTCAACATACCCGTGTGTGCTACCCCACCTACCCTCAACACGCACTCTGAGCGCCTCTCCACCAACCCTCAACATACCCCTGTGTGCTTCCCCACCTGCCCTAAACACGCACTCAGAGCACTTCTCCGTGGACCCTCGACGAACACCCCGCACACTTCTCCGTGGACTCTCAACGCACATTCCACGCGTTTCTCCACCGACCCTCAACACATACTAAGCAGGCTTCCCAACCCTCAATGTACACCACACACTCTTCACCGTCAACCCTCAATGCACACCATGTGCTCTTCTCTGCTGACCCTCAAAGCACCCTATGCAGGCTTTACCGCTGACCCCCAACGCACTCCCCACACTCTTCTACACTGGC